TCTCTCTCTCTCTCTCTCTCTCTCTCTCTCTCTCTCTCTCTCTCTCTCTCTCTCTCTCTCTCTCTCTTAATTATGTCTGAAAGACCATAAAAATATTTTCTGACCTTAGATGTTAAAATTACAGAGGCTATATATATATGTATAAATTACTCTGTAACGTCGGGAGAACGCTCAGATCGCGTATATACATATAGAATCATGTAACACGCCCTTCGCGTTTTTACCGACGTGCCTAACGATATCAAGACTATATATATATATACATATATATATATACATATATATATATATATATATATATATATATATATATGTATATGTATATATATTTATATAAATAAAAAACATGTGCGCAAGTTTAGGGACGCGATCCACGTGCTGCTTCATCCAGTACGCGAATTTTGAGCTCGCGCTCGCGCTGTTGTCTAAAAAACACCCTGTGTTAGTCCGATAAACTGCTGTGCTCTAGGTCATAGGTCATACAGAAGTCAGACCAGGTTTTATTTATTGATTTCTAAGCACGAACCTTATATACTCCTCGTGGGCAACGATGGATGGGTGCGGTTGGAAACGGTCACGCTCCATCATAAGGTGCCGTTGCAATTGTTCATGATGAGCAGCCATGTCCGCATATGGTCTTCCCAGTAGCTCCGCTGGATGCAGCGCAAGGGCAGGATCGCGCGGCATCAGGCCGGGCCGAGGATAATTGGCGCTGGCCGCAGCTATGAACAAAAATGATCATGTTAGAAAAATGAACGTACGAGTTGTGCGTTGAACACATCAACATTATGTATAATAATAGATTCTCTTTTCACAATAATGTCTTTTATATGATATAATCGTTTCAGAAGCGTATGTTCGTGACAATCGCGCACAGCTGTCTTGTGTGATATTCTTTTTTAGAAGCGTACAGCTCGTTCGGCTCGCAGCACAGAAGGAATTGCGACGAACTCCTAGCGTCAAGGCTATCTCAGAGCGTCTCAGAAATGTTATTTCTCATTTTGCAAACACACGCACGCACGCGCACACGCACAGTCGCGCCTGCACCTCGATGACACTCACGCGTACACTCGCACTTGCACCTGGCGGCGATAAGCGACTGACCGGAGGTCAGAGTCGAGGACTCCCGAGATTCGCAGGCGCGCCGACGGTAAGGGTGCGAGAAAGGAGGATCGCCTTGACCTAGACGGTAGGTGTAGGTGACAGGCCGATCAATGAGAAACACGGTCGCCTCCGTTAGTCGACGAGCGATAAAAGCGAGGAACGGAAAACTCTTTTTTAAGAAGCTTAAGAAGAACATCCTGTATGTAGGACCTACCAGGCAGAGGAAATCCAGCCGCAGCCGCAGCGGCTTCCTGCTGTTGCTGAGCCTGTTGCTGGGCCTGTTGCTGTCCCGGATGTAAGTGCAAGTGCGTATGCGCATGCGTATGCGCGTGAGTGTGAGCGTGATACTCGGGAGAGATGCCAGCCATCTGTAACCTGACCATCGGGTCAGCGGCCAGAGCCAGTCGCTCTTCGAGCTGACCATGGTGGTGTGCCGCCACGGGATGGCCAGCCCCTCCAGCCGCTGGCCCCCCACCGGCTGCAGTCGGTATTCCTAAACCCGACAGTGCTTCGATCACATAACTCGATCATCACTGATACGATTCTTATGCCGGATTTCTTCACCTCCGGTTAACCGGTCGTACGGTTACGTTATATTCGGACAAAAACAAAAACGTCATAGCTTTACGATCGTTTCTCTGTTTCCTTCAAAACTGCATTGTGTACACCGGCGAATCATGATGTGGACAAAAAGCTGAGGTCCTTACGGCTAGAGTTAACCGACGCTGAAGAAATCGGCGAGAGAGATTAATTCAGATTTAAATATCTAGCCAGCTACATCGTACTCTGGCCCTAACATTCTCCTCGCCACACACACACACACACACACACACACACACACACACACACACACACACACACACACACACACACGCACACACTCTCTCTCCCTTTTTCTCTCTCTCGATCTAACTTCACCTATCTCCCGGCCTACCGATCTTTCCTTCAACTACGTCATACTATATCATTAAAACAATTTCAATATTGAAAAGCATACGATCGTACGATTGGACGGATAGTCGACGATGTTCCTACTTCTATCTCGGCGAGACATGCAGAACTTCATATGAACAATTACCTATCCGTTCCAGACGTTCCCGTTCCAGCTGACTGGGACCCGGCGGTGCACCATAGAGACCAAATTGGTGTAAGGCTTGAGGCGGGCCGGAAGGTCCTGCCAAACCAGCAGCATAACGTCGGTGTATCTCCAACCAATGTGGATCAACCGGTGCCGGCATCGGTCTAGGCGTACCCTTCAGCAATTCCTCCTTCAGACGGTCGTTCAACTCCCGCTCACGCAATTCGCGTATCTCCCGCTCACGTTTCTCTCGCTCCAAGTGTTCCAACTCCAAGCGCTGTGCAGCAGCGGCCTCGCGTCCGTACAGATAATGCAACATTGGGTCAGGAGGAGCCGGATGTCTGGCAGGCGAGAATGCAGCGTGCGGCCTTGCGTACTCGGACAATTGTCTCAGAGCAGGTGTATCCGCGTACGAGCCAGGACGCGCTGCGTACCTGTCATATGGCGAGACGACAGGTTCGAGAGGTCCACGACTTGGCGGTTTACAAATCTCCGGCTGCTTCTCCGGTGTGGTCATTTTTCTGGCTTGTTGAGCAGCTGCAGCAGCGCGATCACGTTCCTCTCGTTCGCGTTCTGCTTGTTTCCTTGTGCGTTCTTCGCGTTTTCTCGCTAATTTCGACTCCGGCACAGGCTTAAACACCAGATCGGTACGTGTACACGAATTGTTCTCACCACGATTCCAGTGCCGCAAGAAAATAGCAGACTGCGAACGATGACACTCGGAGTCCTCGATACGCGGTTCAGGCGACGGTCCACGCGGGCTAACTGACTCTTCCGGCTCCGGTTCCATGTCTTGCTCGATCTTCGGTTCTTGGACGATCGGAGGTTGTTGTGGTTGCGGTGGACGATGATGATGGTGTGCTGAACTGGTGGACGTTAAGCATGTCGCCGAAACCATCGAAGGTTTACGCTGACTCGACCCATGCGAGGAAGAATGACTGTGAGAACTGTGAGAAGAGATAGTGAGCAGTTTGTCGTGATGCAGAGTAGTTGCCTGGTGCATACTGGACGAGTGGTGATGAGAGGCGATTAGATTCTCGCCCTCTTCTCTAGTTGTGACACTAGAGCTGGTGCTGGCGTGATGAGCAGTCATCATGGTACTGCTTTCTTGACTCCTCTGCGGAGAAGGCGGGGGTATAGCATGTGGAACCGGACCATAAGCATACGGCGGGAAAGATGGATATCCTGCTACCGCACCATAACCAGGGTAAGCGTGTGGATGATACGCATGCATTCCGAACAATGTATGGTGCACGAGATGCGGATGGAATGGATGAGCCATATGCGGGCTCGGTTGTTGCGCTGGATGCATCACTGGTTGAGGTATCGAACTGGGTGGCGGTGGCAAGCTGGGTGTCGGCGTTGGCGTTGGCGTCGGCGAAGCAGCGACCGGTTGAAGCTGCGGCACCAATGCTGGAGCAGAGTTCTGAACCGAATGTTTGCTCGGCGTCGGCGGTTTGCTTGCACCGTCCGGATCTTTCTTAATATTGTCTAGACTCGGGCCCGGAAACGTGGAACTTTGGAAGCCCGGCACTTTGACTTCCTTCAGACTTTGCAGAGGATCTGGCTCGGGTGGTATGATCTCTTGCTTGATCTTCAGGTTCTGTGGCTCCATTGGTGGTGTGCCGGCTAAATTGTAGATACCCGCAGGCTTGTCCATCGATAGCATACCACCAGGCTGCAGGGATTGGAATAAGTTAGTCGGCTCATTCAAGCGTTCAGGTTCGTTACTTTCCGTACGTTCCGTGTGTCTATCTGACGTTATTCGTTCGGGGATACGGCCGTCGCGTGCTCGTTCACTTGACAACCTGTCATCTGCGGCTGTCATTCTTTCGGCACCTCTGCCTTCAGACGACATAACGGTCAAGCCGAGCGGTTGCGGCGAACTTGGCATCGGCGGTGGGATCTGAGGTATCTGACCAATCGGTCCCATACCAGTCGGTATTTGACTCTGCGAAATGTTGAGGTTCAACGGTGGCCCCGACATACTTTGCGGCGGCAAGGCTTGCGCACCGCTAGACAAGTTGTCAGCGTGGGTGCGAAGATTTGGTCCCATGTTTTGCGGTGCATTTGGCGCCATGCTGGGAGGTACACTAGGCGCCAACTGTGTCATACTCTGCGACAGATTCTGCGGCACGTTCTGCACAGGAGGTGGTGGCGGTGGCGGCTGCGGTTGCACATTGCTCGCTGCGTACTGCATACTGAGACTTGCCGGTAGTCCAGCAGCAACGTTCTGTTGTTGACCGGGCGATATCACAGGGATACCCTGCGAACTCACCGGTATAGATTGCGCACCACCCGGAATACCGGTGCCAGGTGGCAGAGTTTGCGACAGATTGCGCACTGCGGCCTCACTCGTCGATTGTACGGGAGCCACTAACGGCTGTGACACACTGAGGTTCAACTGTCCTTGTTCAGGCTCTTTAATGTCGTCGTTGGACGTCGGCGGTGATACCACTGACTCCATCGGGACCAACGGTTCCAACTTGAGTGGCTGATTCATAGCTAACGGCGGCACGGAGTCCTCCATTTGACGATCTATCACCTTGCTTTGATCCACCAATGGTTCCGGTTCAAGCAATGGTGGTTTCTTTTCCAAGCTGTGTATCACCGGCACAGAGATCGGTAGACTCTGAATAGGGGCTGGCACGGGAGTGGACACTGGTGTCGGCTCGGACGGTTCCTCGGGAGTCGTAACAGCTGGACTTACGGGCTCTTCAGCGGTCACGCCAGTGACCGTCGGTGTAGTCGGTTGATTCTCGTTCGTGTCAGCCTCCGTTTCCCTCTCCGGTTCATCCATCAGGGAATTACTGTCTGTCGTGAGCGACTCGGACGGGCTCTCGGCGCGATCGCCGCCGCCGCGCTTTCGCTTCTGTGCGTCTTTGTCGTCGTCGACGTCGTCCGGTTGTGAGCGCTTCTGCGTACCTTTCTTGGGTGTCTCCACTTTGCTGGATGATTTCTTCTTATTCTTGTCAGGTGACTGCTGCTGCTGCTTCTCTTGGTCGGGCGTATCAGTACCACCGGTGCGTCGCGGTCTCGCTGGTCTCGGCGTTTCCTTGGCCTTGTTGCGCGTTCGCATTCTACCGGGACTCTCCGGTGACTCCGCCGGAACAGGGCGGAATAGATAAGGCGGCGCAGGCGGCAGTTCGCCGGTCTTCTTCAGATGCGCACGACATTCCGTACAAAGAAGGAGACGATCCTTGCCGGCCACCTGATAGTCTTTCGAGTTGGTAGAGAAGCAGTGCTGACACGAGTGAGCAGTGCCGTTTGTATTAGTATCACGCGAGTCGCTGTCCTCTTCGGAGTTATCGTCCTCCGTTACGGAACTGATCTCACCACCGGGATTGTGACTGGCCGGCGTGCCGACCGGCACGCTCTCGGCCTCGGACGCAGGCTCCTTCGTGTTGACGTTTGCCGTTGGCGTTGTATCCTTTGTAGGCGTCGGCACTTCCTCTTTTGGAGTGCCGGCGCGGGAGTTCCGCGTATTACGGATCCTCCGCAGTGAGCTCTGCCGGCGACGACGGTGCGGCCTATTATTATTGGCACCAGGCGTCTTTTTCCACAAGTAGTAGAACTCGACCAATTCCGGCTGTAGAGAGACCCCAGCGAAATAAATACTCTACTAAGTCGCAAGCATTTCTCTTTCAGTAAGCGTGAAAAGTATGCTCGCAAGTCAGAGATGAAGATCAATTTGTCAAAGAAAAGGTAAAACGGACTCTCGAATGTTTGACACTTCGTCAAAACGATATCAAAAAAGAGAAGAGGTCATCAAAAAATTTTATTTTGAAAGCACAAAAGTCGCTCTTTTACTTTTTTCGCTCTAACATATCTTTAAGGTCTATTTTGTATATCTCTTTTGTCCTAAACGTAGAAGCGTTGAAAGGTCGTTGAAAGAAAGCAGATTAAAAATTAGGGGAAAGACACTTCGCTTTCAAGTCTTACCGTATCTTTGTGAGGCAAAAGATCCTTCCTAATGCGTGAAAAGTTCTTCCCAAATTGCCGTAAACCCTTGACGAATCGCTTCTACGGTCAACAACGACAAGTGATCACTTTCCTTATTCACGGGACACAACTAATGGTCGAGAACATGATACTTACAGTCTCTTCCTCGGACCATTTCTTGTCGATGCCTTTGGGTACTGGACATTTAACGAGAGCCTGAAGCGCCCTACCGGGATCATAGCCAGAGTCGTGAAGGATGTCCAAAGCATTGATGGTAGTGTCGTCTCGAGACGCCGCCACGCAACCATCGTCCGGGGACCCGCCGTCACACATACCGGCGAAAGCGGCCATAGACCGAGCCGCCCTCAGGTACATGAGAAGATCCCCGTCCAATGCCATGGCCGGGACCCATCTTAGCTCCTCGCGCTCCTTGGAGAATTCTGGATCGGGTAGCAGCTCGCCGGGTGGTATACCCGGCCGATACTCAGGCAAACGGGCCTGACAAGAAACCAACTCCTGTAAATCCCAAAAAATTCGGGATTGCGCGCGGTTAGCACCGATATGCCGAAGCGAGTTAGTTAGTGGTCACGCACCTATGCTCCGGCTTGCCCTCTCAAGCGGTTATCATATTACAACTCAGGTTCTAATGCGTACAAATATTTTCCTTTTTTCTCTTTTGTTTGCTTCTTTACTTTTCTCGTCTCACTCTCATAAAACGCGGTCGATCTATATTTTCCCTTATCAATTTCCTTGCTCGAATATTCCACGGACAACAATAATCGCACCCTCGTATTTTGTATACGAATTCACCGACCAGTACACAGACCGGCCATGTGCCATGCTAATGACAACACCTGGTGACACAACGATTTTCAAATCATAAACAAACGCGTGGAGGAGGCACTTGAAGATCGTAATAATTGTGACGATACGAATGTCGCAAGGCAATTATGCCGATCTGTGTACACGCTCGCATTCGAAAGCACACACGCACGTACTTTTGTATTGCGAAATTCTGTGTCGGAAGTGTCAGGAGGATTACGGGGTTAAAGATAGAAGTTACGTATCTACAACTCTCCGTGTAACTTGCGTAATATATTTATCGGGTGTTACTTATTCGCGAAGTGGTAATACGCGACGCGTGTTTGTCGCGAATGATACTGAAGCTATTCTCGGCGCAACGACGGCAACATAGGGGGGAGGGAAAATAAAAGAGACGATTTATGAGCTATCGATTAGTCACAGACACGGTTAACGCGGGAACAAACACGAAGCCTCGATGGTCCCGCAGTTCGGTGATATTTACCTCGTATTATGCGTACAGAGTCTCGAATCCGGCACAAATTACTTGCCACGATCTCTTTGGCCAATCTGGAATCGGTTCTTTTCTCAATGAATACGTTGTATCATTGAACGTGATATTATCTCAATTTCAATTTCGACTGTCATAATCGTGCAACTATCACAATCATGACATTTAGTTGTTGCATGAAATATTTCTGCGATTGTTCTTCCTCAAAGTGTTTCTAAAGGTAACTTTTAACGGTAAGTGAGATATTCGTTATCTGATAACCTCTGGGATCTGATTCCCAAAAAGAAGCCTATTTAGCTTCAATTGCCTCCGACGATTACTCGAGGGAATTATCGGTCAGCGCGTGACAAAATCTCGATTCCAAATTAGTGCTCGTGCTCACACAGATGGTTCAAGTAAGCAATGGAGAATAATTGTTGTATTGTCAGCAGATATGTAAATATAGTGCAGAGGCGAGTTGATCTGCTTATTGATCGACCGACCGCTCGAGTTACTTCACCGTGACTGAATACCACTCCAAAATGAAGAAAGCGCAATCTCACGCCAGATAAACTATACAATGATTATCCTCATGCATCGCTCTCAAGTATATATATGTACACGTATATATGTGTGTGTGTGTATATATATATATATGTATGTATGTGTATATATATATATATATATATATATATATATATTCACGCACAGCTGGTATGCCGCTCTACGAAGGTAGGAAGGTATTCCTCCCGCGAGAGTAATTAACGAGTAATCTCGCCGGTTTTGGCGGAATGATCGCGATCGATTGGCGCATGCAGGACGCGTGTGCCCGGTGCGATACAAGTATTGCCGAGAGAGCGTGATGAGTGGGTTTCACGTATCTCGCGTGGACAAAATTGTCGTTATACCTGAAACATTCGAAGCTCTCCGGCAATGAATGCGTTAGTTGAACCATCGAATTAACTAGTAAGTAGAATCGTAAATTCGTACTGCGATCTCTCTCTCTCTCTCTCTCTCTCTCTCTCTCTCTCTCTCTCTCTCTCTCTCTCT